AGTTTCTTGGCCTCCTAGGTCACCCGATTTAACGTCGCTAGATTTTTTCCTGTGAAGACATGTGAAGTCTTTGGTTTACGAAACTCCAATAGAAACAGAGCAAGACTTAATTGGACGAATTACAGCAGCATTTGAAATCATTCAAAACGAGTATCAAATTCGCCGCCGAAATCATGTGCGACGTTTAAATCGGTGTATTCAGGTTGGAGGAAGACATTTTGAACAATTGTTGTGACAATATCATCTACAAAAGGCAAAAATTAAATGCATTAAATCCTATTTAGGCAATTCATCGTCTTTCTAAATTTTATCGCGTCTTAGGGACGTAGTGCCGTAGGGACACTTTTCCGGATATGGGTCCCTATACTCAAATGTTTTCTACTGTTACACTGAATAACCCCTAGAAGTTTGATCTCTTAGTTCTGAAACACCCTGTATAGTATATAGTATAGTATATAGTAAGGTATATAGTATAGATATATTTCATATACCATATTCTAGGTTAAAGCTCAAGGAGCTAGATACTGAGCGTTTTCAGAATGAGATATCCTCCATCTAGTCAATATTGCAATTACGTTCCGGTTTCGTCTCGTAAATTGAACAGGTGTAGTCCCCCATTTCCCGGCTTTATAACTTTCTGACTGTTTGTGAGTAAGTGTTATTTAAATATAATTACAATTTTATATTGGCATCCTCAAATTCACTTCTCTCTAGAGCCATACAATACTAGAGACGGTTGTTCTACTCCTCATAGCATCAGCTAGTCACTTGAAGCCGTTTGAATGTTAATCCAAAAAATAGTTCCCTGGAGGTGATTTTTCAATTTCAGGAAGAGAAAAGAGTCACAAGGACTAAAGTCAGGCGAGTAAGTATTCTGAGTAACCACAGAATTTTTTTTACTAGAGAAAAACTCGTTTATTAGCAAGTAGCATTATCGTGATTCAACGCCCAGCTGTTCTTCATCTGATGAACGGTGGTGTGAGACAAATTTAACTCTTCTCCGATCATTCTGACAGGCGGCCGACTATTTGAATGCACAAAATCCCGGATTTTGCCGTTATTTTCATCATCATCGAAGATGTCTTCACGCTTCGTGGTTCATGTTCACGCGACTCTATCCCTTCTGAAAATGCCTTAAACCACCGAAAAACCTAAGCTCTTGACAAAACACTATCTGCGTAGGCATGTTGAAGCTTAGCACAGTTTCCGTTACACTGTGCTCAAGTCTCAAGCTAAGCCTGATAGCACACCGTTGCTCGAAATTGATGTCACTGATTTTTACCACACCATAGGAAAATCTGTCACAAAAAATATCGCTACGGACAACCAAATGACTCGAGCGAGTTGAAACTTGTACTGAGGGTGGATCACGTATTCTCCTATCTCTGCTTCAAGCCCGGCTCCTCCAGTGTTGCCAGGTCGAACGATACGTTGCCAGCCTTATCGCTTAATTTGCAGACCTCGTACGTTGAATGTAAAGTGGTGACGTTTCTTATACTTTATGTTATTATAGGTACATGTTCAATATTAAGATAATAGTAATAGTAATAGTAATATTTATTTGTCACCAAAATACACAACCATTACACAGAATTTTATAGAGGACAAATAAATGAAGAGCCCGCAGAAGGGTGGCCCTTGTGCGCGGGTAAAGGAAAACAGAAAATACTTATATACTAACGATGACGTAACACAATAAAATCCTTTTTTTTTTCTAATTAACAAATGAGTGATGCATATGGACTTAATTGAGATTCCATATATGTAAGTGAAGTATGGATTGTGCTCATAGAATATGGTATATCAGAGGAAGTACTAACCACTAAAGGATAACCTGTGCGTGGCCATTACATCCAACTGGACCAAAACTAAACTCAAGGATTTTGAAATACAACACTACAGAAAATTTAAGATGGGCCGCTAAGGCTTAATGACTTAACTAAACTAGCGGCTGTTCTATCTATATCTATTTTTTCGGTCAAATCACAGACCGCTAAGGCTAAATAGATCTACACTAAGTATAATATATGAAGGCTTAAAAAGTACTGGTTAGGAAATGGAAAATTTAATCTGAGAATGACCTACAACTTACAATGTATTGGGACCACGTGCAGCCAGACTTTTATTTGTTTTTTAAATGAGTTTAAATTATTTAGTTTTTTGTAAGACACTGGGATGGTATTGAAAATTCTTGGACAGAGAAAAATCCAGGACCTTTGTATGAGTGTTTTCTCCGGCTTTGGGACTACATTCTGAGACAGCATTTTCTGACGGGTGCCATATTGTATAAATATTGATACTACCTGCTCTTTGGGCAAATATAATCGGTCAACCGAAAAAAAATACCTTCACGTCATATCGTGACCGTTCGCCGTGTGAATAGGAACACTTTCTTCATTGTCCTTTTCCCGACGGAACCGCAGCAGGTAGAGTTGCAACTGGAATCAATGACAATGTTTAAGGGCGCGTCGATTGTTTGGGCCGCACCGATCGCGATTGGCCTTTTGTTAGGAGCCTCGCCGCAAAACAGACGCTGCCCGCGTAATTATGGCCTTAGGCCAAGAGGAAAGAAAGGCAACAAGGAAAAACGTGGAATTCTCAATGGCAATAATTGTTGATGTATTAAGAATTATGGCAAGGGCAGTGTAACATATGGCTGGGGTCGAGTAGAAACGTTCTGCTACAATGTTAACAGTTATTCGGAAGGTTCTGTGTTAAATATTCTTATGTAGATGTAGATCGAGATAATTTATTGGTCATATTATGTGTTGCAGGAAAAATAGAGTAAAAGGAGTTCAAATATTTACGTAGAGCATAAATGTACTGCCATATAAAATTGGTATAAGTCCTCCCCCCCCCTAAAAGCCTCTCCACCAAGTTTTTTTTACCTCTAACATTTTTTTCATTAGTTATCAGGAGTCTTCGAAACGCAAAGAACAAGGTTTGAGCGATTTTCATGCTTATTCATTTTTGGAAAACCACTGATTTTTAAAAACTACAAAGCTTTTGCATTGTTGCCATAGTAGTAGCATTGTGTAAAAGTGTCTTCGAAATCCGAGCGGTTATGAGATTAGCGTAAAGTCCATGATTCTTTTACTAAAGTCTACAGTTGCTTATTTCAGCGACCATATAAGTGATTATCCTATGCCTACTTAACTTACCTCGTTAGACGCTTTGTGAGCTGCAGCACCTAATTATAATCCTCAATTTCTGGCGCTTGCGTGAGGAGACACTACTCGAAAAATTAAGTAAAAAACGAGGCGACTCGAAAAAAGTCCAATAATTGGCCTTAAACGATTCCTAGAGAGCCTGAAAATGTGTGGTAGTGAGTTGGTTGAAACGGTAGTGACGGTAATTACTGAGCGGACGATGCTTTTTCCAATGCATGTCTCTTTAAATATGAACGATTAAATGAAATTAAATGATAGGTATACCGTGTCGTGACTGCGACGGGTAGCTCTAGGTTTTCTTTTTACCTTCGATCGTGTGAATGAGAAATGCTTTTCATGTATTGACCCACAACTGCTGTTGAAAAGCACGTTCGACGAATACGAGTATTGATGAGGTAGATGGCGATTATGATGGATAATTTCAACAGTTTTGTGTCCATTTGGTGCTTTCTAAACATGGGACAAAAATATTTAGGCTATTCGACGGCTACTAAAAGCTTTTGATATCAGGAGTGAATATTGAAAATACTGATTATTATCGTATTTGATCTTCAAGGATACATTATCAGGCTTCAAAATGCCCCTCAATGAAAAATCTCTATTCCTGCCTCTCTTACTTGTAGGTATAATTCAACGAAACTTTTTTGGGATACCAATTTCGAATATAGTCATCAAAAATGTTGAACTGAGCCTTCCCTCGATCATAGCCAAATCCTGACAAGGATAATTTGGGACGAGTTCAGAATATCCTAAAATGGGATTATTTGGGCTTTTCCATCTAAGCATCCGATCTGTTCAATAACTTGCTTTTGTCAAAATTGCACATACACAAGAACTTTTTCCTTCCTATTCCCTTCAAAAGCTTGATCGTTTCTTGGAGCAACATTTTCTTTTCAGTCTCACGATGTAATATAGTAAGTGTTCTATTACCACCTATAACACTAACGTGAATAAATCCGATTACGAGTCCCGAGTGGATATCAAAGGTCCACTGTATAATCTAAAATAGTGCGACCATATTGCCTTACTCATTGCATTTTTTCATTGTTACAGGAGTGTGCACGAATGCAACTGCCCCCTCCGTAAGCAGCATTAACCGAATCCTGCGCAACAGGGCTGCGGAAAGAGCGGCAGCGGAATTCGCAAGGGCCGCAGGGTACGGCCTGTACCACCACCACCCGTACGCGGCGGCAGCCGCAGCGTTTCCATGGCATTCGCCGCTTTGGCCCAATGGACCGCTTGGTAAGTTACATTAAATTACATTAAATTACAATACATTACATTACATTACATTGAGTTACATTACATTACATTACATTACATTACATTACAATACATTACATTACATTACATTACATTACATTACATTACATTACATTACATTACATTACATTACATTACATTGCATTGCATTGCATTGCATTACATTACATTACATTACAGTACATTACAGTACATTACAGTACATTACAGTACATTACAGTACATTACAGTACATTACATTGCATTGCATTGCATTGCATTGCATTACATTACATTACATTACATTACATTACATTACATTACATTACATTAAATTACATTACATTACATTACATTACATTACATTACGTTACATGACATTACATTACGTTACATGACATTACATTACATTACATTACAATTACATTACAATACATATTACATTACCTTACATTACAATAACATTACATTACAAATTACATTACCTTACATTACATTTATCCTTTTCTGTTCTTCCCGAGCAACTTCCAAGTTTTTCAGTGATGCCTTGTATGCTGTTCTACTAAAGTATCATCTCTTTTTTTCCAGGTCTCCAACACCCTGGAGCAGGTTCAGTCCCTTCAGCGATGGCCTCTTCTCCAGCAGGGTCGTCAGGTTCCCCCAGGCACCATCCCGACCACGGAATCCTAGGCTCCCCTCCAGGAGACAAGGACGACTCAAGTCTGGACAGCTCTGAACAACCGAAGTTCAGGCGAAACAGGACCACCTTTAGCCCCGATCAATTAGAAGAACTGGAAAAGGAGTTTGAGAAAAGTCATTACCCTTGCGTGTCTACCAGGGAGAGGTTGGCTTCGAAAACGTCCCTATCGGAAGCTCGAGTACAGGTGAGATTCTGTTACTTTAAACTGTATTATATCGGCATCAAAATCGTAACAGCAAGAATAAATTTAGGCTTATTTGAGGCTGAATTTTGCTGCATTCCGCGAAGTAAAAGTTGGTTTGTTTTCCACTTCTTTCAAAACTTCTAAATCACTGTGTAGCTAGCGAAATATTTTTCGCATCGAGTTTGTATATCATTCTCACGTAATCGGTTTTTTAGGGTCCTTCCGCTTTTTTAGATATTAACATTATTACTGAGCAAATTACATAATGAATACATTGAATACTTAATATACCTTTCTAGCAGCATCCATCGTAGAGCTTGAGTCAAAATCAATTTTTCTTCAAACAAATAATGAATACAAACCTCATGGCCATATTCAGATTAATCGGTGATTTTAAATGCTAAAAAATAAGATTAAATTATCAAACCTTGGCCTTTTTTGAGTTAAATGCTAGCGCATACAAACTAGAATGCATGCTATCGAACGAAATGGTATTAGATGATCTGAAGTATACTTGATATCTTCCAGTAACTAGCTACAGAAAGGAATTAAAGTGTATTGCAATGATCCTTCCATCCTTTTAAGAAACGGACTTGAAATACTGGATATGTTGTGAAATATCTATTACAAAAAATGAATGCAAGTCGTTGTCTTATATCGGTACCTCTGGATATGTGAAACTCGTATGTATCGTGCTACTGTACATTTCTAGAAAGTCTGAAACGAAAGAGACACCTCATAATTTTGACCAATATAAGTAGCACCTGTTGAGTCTCACCATTTTTCTAAGCTGACAAAAAACATTTGGCAAACATTATCAGCTTTTGGTAGAATATTGTATGTCACTGGTTTTTGCAAGCCATATGATTATGCTCGATAAGAGTCATTTGGAGTCTTTTGTTATGGCAGATAAAAGTGATAGATAGATTACTATCTTTCAATAACAATAAACATGTTGATAGGGTTAATGGTTAATGGCTAATGAAATAATCTTTATCTTTAAAAGGTGCTATGAAAACTTCCACGAGGCAGTTCTTTAATAGACTGTAGTCTACTAGCCTAGACTACTAACCTTGTTTTAAGATATGACATTAATCTTTGCAAAAACCATGCAAAAAGATGTTTTAACAAATATAACATGTTTTACTTAAGCCTAGCCAGACATGACTAAAGCGCCTTGATTACAGTCCAATATCTTCTCTGTATTTTTACTAATACTTAATTTCTTCTTTATTAACGCTGGTTTGTAAATTTTTGCTTTCACGATTGTGTGGTTTGTCAATTATAAGACTCGTAGTCCACATGACAGAAGTTATGACTTTGAAAATCCATACCGAATATAAAGATATTATGACGAATATAATAGCAGTCTTGGAAAGTAATAATAGTTTAAAAAATAATTCCCATTACTACTAGAACAACAAAAAATTATGACGCACAATATACTTCAGATCATCAAATGCCCGACCGATCCGAACAACAAACTAATCGGTTATAATTGTAACCAGGTTTGGTTTTCCAACAGACGGGCGAAGTGGCGTCGCCACCAGCGCATGAATCTCCTGAAGCAGTCCTCCCCAGGCCCGGGGGGAGGTCCTTCAGCCCCCCACCATCACGGCGGTCCGACGGGGTCCCACGGAGGTCCGACGGGGCCTTTCGGGGGACGACTCACTCCCCCGCCCCCGCAAGCCGTCGTCACAGGATCTTCCACCCCTGGCTCTCCGATGAACGCCGGTCATCATCACCCCCAGCACCTGCTTCTGCAGATGGGAGGGGAAAATAGCGCATTCAAGGCGTTGGTGCCGGGAGCAGGTCATCGGTTGCATGCGAGGAGGTAGGTTGTTTATATGCTCATATAATTGTCTACAATGTTATCTATGAAATACTTACCTTTGAAAAGAGTATATACACAGAGTGTCCGATAATTTGTGAACCAAGAATGGTATGGAAAAATTAAGCCCTGCGGAGTTTTCATCAGCTATTAAATTGTGACCTTGGCCATGACGACATTCAAAGTCATGTCAAGGTCAAGACGATTTTTTATAGCCAGGGAATCCTGATAAAAACAGCGAAGTTAGTTTATCTGGAGATTACACATTGTTCTGAATTGTCAAGAAATTGAGGTTAATTTGTGTTTGACCTTGAAGCACAAGTCCAAGGGCAAGTTCCAAAAATGGTTAAAAATATATTCGAACATGGAATGTTCTTTTTTCTCCATTTTCGCGGTTTAGGGAGCCATTAAAGAAAGCGACCTTCAAATAACCCTGTAGGTAATGGCCAAGGTCACCATGGGATACCCGGAAAAAAATCATGAAGACAATGTCTTAGTAGTACTAGCTTTAAGTTATATCACCGTACCTACTTGAAAAAATCGGCTTGACCTTCCCCAAATGACTTTGAAGGTCATGGTCAAGGTCAAATCCATTAAAGGTTCACAAATTATCGTGAGGTTCTGAAACTTTCCAGACAACCTGCATTGTAAATAGAGAAGCAGCTGAGAAAAATTCTCATAGATGACGCTATGGTTTCTCATTTCATCTCGGATAATTTTTTGGACGTGGGAATATAGCATTAAGTCAGCTATCCTCGGAAATTGTTAATAAATGATACAAACAACTATCTGACTCGCATAGTGTCTAGTTACTCAAATTTGATGAACTATCAACATGAGTTTACCTGCTCTAAGTAATTTAATTATAATTATTTATCTCTTTATTTTCAGGTTGAGTGACTACGCACCCACGACAGACTCTGAAGAAGAAATAAACGTCCACGACGAGTCCGACCTAGAGGATCGACCTGAGAGGTCGAGGTCAACCAGTCCTGTGGTGGTTGATGACGACCCTAGAGGGACGGAGCATCAACTACCCACCTGTCAGCCTCTACAGCTGACCATGCATGATCGAGACTAGGTCTGAAAGGTACGATGTTCAAAGTGATGCCAGGGTGGAGCGCTGTAGAGATTTGGAAATATTAATTTTGAAATGGAAAGCATCAAAGCTGCTAAGCGATTTATGACAAATGAGGTTAGACACCTTGTTTTTTGCAACCCCTTCCCAGCAGCTTTACAAAAAGAGCAGCAAAAAGTTATTTGAATCGCTTTCCGCTAACACTGACTATAGTCTTGAGGAAGGTGAACGTCGAGATTTACTTATTATTATGGTTGTCACAACTTTTTATTACGAACTCTGAGAGCAAATCGACAAGTTGACGTTTACAGTTGTTTAAAATTTGTATTTCCAAATCAGCTGAATATAAAACCTTGCTGTTGTGTTGCTGTACTACAAAAACGCACTAATCGATGATTCAACCAAAGTACTGTACTTAGCTCTTATTTTCCGTCCATTCTGTATTTAAGTTTTCGTTCATGATGTAAATAGTATTGTCGACTGGCAATGTATACTATGTTCCTTAAAGGCCGTCTGTACATAATATTAGCTAATTTAATTTGATTTTTGAATGAATGTTGAGGTGTATTACATGGAACCATTGGAAATGTAGCTTATTTCAGAAAATAAATTTTTCAGCTATTTTCTACATGATTTTGTCCACCATACATGGTTGTCAGTTATTCCAAATATTTTATATTCCAAAGCAATCAGCAAGCAATCAGCCACGTCAATCATTGAAAAATTTCTCCCTGACATTGTTATAGCTAAAAAAGTGTGACCTATGTGTGTAAAATCATTAACTCAACATTCTGTATTCTGTATCCCGATTCCGATGCTTATTTTAAATCACTCTAAATGAGAAAAATAATTCCAACTTAGAAGTTTCCCATTTGTCAGCAAGAGGTCAAAATATGGGATCCTCACTACTGCCTGTCAGTCAATTTTGCTAAAAGGATGCAACTATAGTTAACGTAAAACTGTTTTAGTCGAAGTAAATTGAAGTCTGTTCCGATATTTGAAACTGGTTTTAAATGGATTCACCTCAAAAGGTATATTCTCCTGTAATGTACGTACGGATGTGGTGTATATGGTTGGATATTGTATTGTTAAATATTTAAATGAACTGTATATTGCTGTAAGCTTTACGAAGAATACATTTGTGAATAGTACTCATTACTTGTGTTTTATTTTCCTAGAACCGTTTTTGGTTTCTCAGACAACAGCATTGTAGTAGTATCGGTAGCAGTTGAGTTGGGAAGGCGAAACTTGGCAACTGGGCCACCTTTGATCATTTTTGCCGACCCCATTGTACTATTCTATTACTTCACATGCTTATCATCTGGTAACTGATTATCGAATAAACCAGCTCCAATGATGCAATTTACATATTCGATCTTGCACCGATAAGAACAGAAAAATCCATAAACCACTGACGTCGTATCGTGTCCGAGAGAGTAATGCGAGAAGCGTCTAATACGTATGTTAGAAAGAGATAGAAGCACCATGTAGAACCCCAAGTGGCGTGGCCACGGACGAGGCCGCGGTTTGCCGCGTTGCCATCGGCGTGCTCTTTCTAACATACGCAATGGACGCTTCCCTCTCGTACATATTCCGACGTCAGTGATATTTAGCTAGCAGCTGAACACCGTAACACATCCAGGCTACCAAGCCTCAAAAAAATACAATACGAATTCAATGTGACTTACAGCTACTGGTGTCGGAGGTCGGGAAGGCAGCATAGCTATTTTAGGAAGAGAGGAGAACAAGAGTTGTGCTACTACAGGTAAGATCTGTTTGACTTAGGTTTCTTTTCTAAGATCTAAGTTCGTATACCCGTACGCCTAAGAAACATCGTTAGTAGCTGGGTAGAGCATTTACAGGAATTTTCGACACGGCAACGCACATTTACGAGACAAATCATCGTATTTCCTCATTTTACCACCGCATCTAAAGCCTGGAGAATATCGGCAGATACAGTGGTACCTAAAGCCGAACCGAGTCGATGGAGATGAACATGATTTTTGCGGTATCGAACATCATGCTGTGAGATGGCGTGGTGAGATGCAGCGGCTTGCCTCGGCATGTATGAACATGACAGTGGGCGCCTAAAATCTATCTATATATCTATAGATACATTTATTATCTTGTAGGTCATATAAATGACATAAAAGTCGTCCAAAGTGCTATGAATAGCGCACATAACACTGATCAACAGCCAAAAAATATCCTAAATAAAATCAACAAAATATTACTATTTTTAATGTGCTAAAACCGGAATGAAACTTATTTTTTCAATATCAGTTCAAGTTTTAGAGATACGGTAATTATATGTGTTCCTGCTGTGACAGTGTTAATATACTGTAATTCTCAAGAATGCACGTGCTACATTTTTATATTCGGCAAGGAAAGATTATGTAATCGGCATGATTGTGTTACGTTATACATACGTGTACATTATATTGTTTTATATTAGCCATTTTTTCCTCAGTTGGCTGACAGCGTTCATGCAAGATGTCTCGAAAGTGTGTAAACAACCCAGATCAGTTTTGTTACGTGTGTGGTGATGTGACTTTTGCGTCTCAGAGACGGTCTGTTACTCCACTAATAACAAAGGCATATCAGCTTTATTTCGGTTGTGAACTAGGTGATCAAGACAAACAGTGGGCACCCCACATCTGCTGTAATACATGTGCTTCAAGTCTGAGGAGCTGGTTAAATGGCAAAAAACGGTCTATGCGCTTTGCTGTCCCAATGGTTTGGAGAGAGCCTACAGATCATATGAATGATTGTTACTTTTGCATGGTACCTTGTGTTGGACAAGCCACAGGTATGTCCAGGAAAAAAAAATCGGTTATTAACTACCCAAACATACCATCTGCGATGAGACCTGTGCCTCACAGTGACGAAAATCCTATTCCAAAACCCCCAGAATCCTACACTTGCGAATCAGAAAACGAATCAGATCATGGCGATCGAGTGATTCGTCAGGAAGAAGATATGCCATCAACGTCAAGAGATCCTGATTTTATACCGAGCACGTCATGCTACCAACCGCACAAAATAACACAGTCAAAATTAAATGATCTTTTAAGAGATTTAGAACTAGAAAATGTAAGGCAGAGTTACTTGGATGAAGACTGCAGCAGTGGAACTTGTTAGAAGACGATGTTTCGGTATGTGTTTTTCGTAAACGCCACAAAGACTTAGAACCATTTTTCAATATGGAGAATAACTTGGTTTTCTGCAGTAACATTAACGGCTTACTGGCGGCTTTAAATATAAACTATAACCCAGAAGAATGGAGATTGTTTATAGACAGTTCAACATTGAGTTTAAAGTGTTATTGCATATTGGAAATATTTTACCATCTCTTCCTGTTCACATGAAAGAATCATATGACAATATGAAGTACCTATTGACATGCATAAAATACGATGAGCACCAATGGCATATTTGTGTCGATTTGAAAGTTGTTGCACTTTTACTTGGGCTGCAGCTAGGCTACACAAAGTTTTGCCCTTTTTTGTGTGAATGGGACAGTCGGGCAAAGGCACTTCATTACACCAGACAAAACTGGCCTGTTCGTCAATTCCTAGAGCCAGGTCAAAAAAATGTACAGCATATGCCATTAGTAGATTCGAAAAAAATTTTATTACCACCACTGCATATCAAGTTGGGTCTAATGAAAAACTTTGTCAAGGCATTAGATAGAGATGGGTCAGCTTTTCAATACCTGCGTCAGAAATTTCCAAGACTAAGTGAGGCAAAGGTTAAAGAAGGTATTTTTGTTGGGCCATTCGAAATATTTTGAAAGATACACAGTTTGAAAACACTTTAACAGGTATTGAAAAAACTGCTTGGAATGATTTCCGTCTTGTGGTCACTAATTTCTTGGGAAATAGAAAAGCTGACAACTATAAAACCCTTGTCAAAAATATGCTGTCATCGTATCAAAAGATGGGCTGTAATATGTCTCTTAAGATACATTTCCTACACTCACACCTGGACTTTTTTCCTGACAATGGCGGAGCCGTAAGTGATGAGCACGGCGAACGTTTTCATCAGGATATTTCAACAATGGAAAAAAGGTACCAGGGAAAGTGGAATCCTTCCATGCTTGCAGACTACTGTTGGACTCTTGGTAGAGATGCTCCATAAAAGAACAGCAAAAAGACAGCGCATATAGTGATTCTTATAAGTATATGAATCTTGTTACTTTTTTTAATATACCCTTAAAAATAAAAGTTTTTTTTTCTAAACCGCAACTAATTTTTTTATTTCATTATCATTTTTGGATTCAGCGCCCCAAAATTAACAAGATACAATTAAAAACTAAAATTTGTTGTCCAGTGAATTAATAGTAAAACAAAACAAACATAGGTACAACAGGAACAACTTTAAATTATTGACGAAACAGAAAGGCGTACAGATATTCAGATATAAAAAAAGTTATGATAAATGAAACATATCACAGTTCGAGGTACTTAGAAAAACAGTAGAAACATTTTACAACTAATAGTTTTCGTAGTTGACGTTTAAAACTAGCGGATACTACTGCCATTCCTGAGATTCGCTGTAACTTTGTTTATATATCCTAGTGCAGGAGTATTGTGGCGATATTTCATACAGTGGCCCTCGTATTACAATGTGTGTTCTGTATAAATTTTGTTTTGTTTGTATATGTATGTAAATATGAATACTTAGCAGTCATGATGTTCTTACCCCTAAATACCTTTCTGCAGGATTCTCTTCTATGGATATTAAATGTCAATCTAATTGTTCTCTTCTGTTGAACAAATTCTCTAGAAATTTAAGTTGATTGACCCCAAATTATAATGTTCCTTGACAAATGTGAATGGACGAGAGAATAATACACCTTTAGTAAAGCTGATTCAGATGAACAGAACTTAAGTTTCAGAATTGCATAATACGGATGATTCAACTTTTACACACACTGTCAATTTCCATTTACAAGAATGTCGTAGTGTCAAATGTCTCATGCTTTGCTAGTACAGAAGCGCTTCTATACAAAGAAATGTTATGACTTTTTATTCTTTAATTGATTGGGTTGAGCATTCATCTCATACTGTCTATGTCCATT